GAGCAACTGCAAGTCAATTCTGCTCTCCCCCTAGCCATGGGAAAGCCCATGCCAGGGAGAGTGACCTGGATACAGTAGCTGCCTGCCAAGTGGTCAATCCCCCGGGATAAAAATCAGAGTGATTTCAAATGGCTAGGAGAGCTGGGAAGGGTAGCCACTCTGTAGGGGACCAGAATGGGGCCTTCTGGAGATAGCTGTCACATTTTCCAATGAAGGGCACAGACACCCAGAAATGGAGGCCCAAGAATCTCTCCCATCATGAGGTATAAAACATAGGGGGCATACTAGAAAACCAACTCTTTCCCATGCTACCCCGATTGCTGGGGCTGAGGCTCAGGGGGTAGAATGTCTGCCTATCATACAAGAAGCTCCAAGTTCCATCCTTAGCATAGCACAAACCAGTAAGGTGCTGCTGCATGTCTATATTCAGAGCCCTGAAGAGATTGGAAGCAAGAGGATCAGGAATTGAAGGTCATCAGATACATTGTATATTTGAAGTCAGCTTGAGCAACATTAAGACTTTGTCTCAAAATATTTGTAACAAAAATATAAAACAAAAATAACATCTGTAAAAATGTTGTTGGGTGAGGATGTGACCTAAATACATTGTATTCATATGTGAAATTACCAAAGAACTTATAATTTTAGAAATGTACTGTTGACAAACACTTGCTACAAATCCCCTGCTCTAGAAACCCTTCTCCTCTTTTTTTCTACAACCAAAACCCCTTCTCTTCTTTAAGCCCTTCAACCCACCAGAGGGACAGCAGGCTACAGGCAGAAAAGTGCTGCTGCAGGTAGTAAGGAAACAGGCATAAGGCTAACTAAAGATTCTATGACTGACCTGCACCTGATCAACTCCTGAGTTTAGTTCAGGGCCCTTAGAGAACCCACAGAGATCTCTACACATTTGACACACTGGAAGAAGATTCCTTCTGGCCAGGCAGTGGTGGCATATGCCTTTAATTCCAGCACTTGGGAGGCAGAAGCAGGAGGATATCTGAGAGTTTGAAGCCAGCCTAGTCTACAGAGCAAATTTCAAAACAGCCAGAGCTGTTACACAGAGAAACCCTGATGTTGGAAGTCCTTCTGTCTATGTGTTGCTTTTATTAGTTAATGAATAAACTGCCTTGGCCTGCTGATGGGGTAGAACTTAGGTAGGCGAGTGGGGGGCACAACGACAGGACTGAACTGAATGCTGGAACAAGGAAGGCAGTAAGGGAGGAGACACCATGGAGCCGCTGCCAGAGTCAGACACGTTGAAACTTTGCGGATAAGCCACTGCCACATGGTAATGCACAGATTAATGGAGACGGTTAAATTAATATGTAAGAGTTAGCCAATAAGAAGCTAAAGCTAATGGGCCAAGCAGTGATTTAAATAATATGGTTTTCTGTGTGATTATTTCGGTTCTAAGCTAGCTAGGCGGCCAGGAACCAACAAACCACCCCTCCTCCGACAAAACCCTGTCTCAAAAATAAAAAAAAAAATCCTTCTGGTATTCTGACAAACTCTCCTTACAGTCTATATACAAATTCAGATCCTGGGGACTGGGAGCATGCAGGCTCATAATGAACAAATCAGTGTCTTCTGGCCTGATTTGGGGCGCCAAGAAGGCTCTACACGAAACCATCTCAAAATAAAACAAAAACAAAAATAGGAAACAAGAGCACAGAGACAAATGAGAAGCCACAGCAAGCGAGGGGTGCTTAGAGTTTGGCTACAGAAAGCCAAGGTGTTCTTGGAGTCGCTGGAACCTGCAACAAGGGCCTCTCCTTCCCTCCAGCCCAGAGGGAAAGTGGCCTTTTAGACACCTTGATTTCAGAGTATGGTCAGGAAATGAGAAAGCATATCCCAACTTTTCTAAGTCAACCAAACTTCTGGTCATTTGTTACAATGACCATTGGAAATCTACACACTCAACTTTGACCCGCCTTTAGAACCCAACATCAGGAATGATGGTACAAGTCTATAAGCCCAGGAGGAAGAAAGCAGAAGTAGCACAATGTTCAAGGCCACCTTGGAAAACCCAAGATTGTCTCAAAATGGCTCAGTGGGTAAGGGCACTTGCTATCAAATCTGATGAGTTTGATTCCCAGGACCCACATAATGGAAAGGGAGAACCAAGTTGTCCTCTCATCTCCACATTCTCACTGTGACATGAGACACCACCACATAAACACAAATAAACATATGTAATAAAAATGGGGTGAGGGGGAGGGGGAGGGAAATGGGAGGCGGCGGTGGGGAAGAGACAGAAATCTTTAATAAATAAATAAAATAAAAATGGGGTGAAATCTTCACCCCAATGTCATTTTAGCCCAGAGCAGTGGTTCTCAACCCCATGGGTCATGACCCCTTTGAGGGTCACATATCAGATATTTACATTATGATTCATAACAGTAGCAAACAATAGCAAAATTAGTCATGAAGTAGCAACAAAATAATTTAATGGTTGGGATCACTACAACATAAGGAACTGCATTAAAGGGTCACAGCATTAGGAAGGTCGAAAACCACTGGCCTAGAGGATGAAATTTTTTTCTGGCCCCAAGAATATATCTGGGACTGAGGATTTTGAGAAACAAGGACGTTTTACTTATACATATGCCCGTGTAGGTATGTGTGTGTGTAATTCTGTATAACTTTCAACACTGTCGTGATTTGGGGGAAGGAGAGAATCAGAGACTCTCAAGTAGCACAGGCTGGCTTGAACTGCTCCTCTTTCGTCCACCTCACGTGTGCTGGGATTACAGGTATTTGTATATACCTGTATATGTATATATTCTAATTTCTGAAGACAAGACCTTACTTTGTAGCCAGGCTACTCTTAAACTGAACTCTTCCTACGGCCAGGTATGGTAGCACACACCTTTAACCCCAGCATTGGGAGGCAGAGGAGGAAGACCTCTGTAAGGCCAGCCTGGTCTACATAACTAGATACAGGACAGCCAGGACTACATAGAAGAACCCTGTTTCGTGGTCTACAAGAGCTAGTTCCAGGACAGGCTCCAAAGCTACAGAGAAACCCTGTTGCGAAAAAACAAAAAGAAAGAAAGAAAGAAAGAAAGAAAGAAAGAAAGAAAGAAAGAAAGAAAGAAAGAACCCTGTCTCAAAAAACAAAACACTGAGTTTCTCCTACTTCAGTATCCCAAATGCTGGGATACAGGCCTGCACCACCACACCTGGCACTGCAGGATTGTTTCGGGGGCTTTGGTGGTGCTGAGGATCTAGCCCAAGGCCTCAAACTTACTAGGCAAATGTTCTACCAGAGCTGTATGCCTAGCCCATAACCATCTTTATTTTTACTTCACAGCTGGGAACAGAACCCAGATCCTTACCCATGCTGAGCCCCCAGGCAACTTAGATAATTACAGCAAAACAAGAACACAAACTGTAAAGATTCTCCTGGAATAAGTTGAACTTCTAAGAATAAAAGAAACTGGGTGTAAGAGATTATGAGGAAACTAACAATTATGTAAATATAATAAATTCTATAAAAAAGTTTGTCAAGGTGGTGGCGCACGCCTTTAATCCCAGCACTCGGGAGGCAGAGGCAGGCGGCTCTCTGGGATTCAAGGCCAGGCTGGTCTACAAGAGCTAGTTCCAGGACAGGAACCAAAAGCTACGGAGAAACCCTGTCTCGAAAATCAAAAAAAAAAAAAAAAGTTTGTAAGTTCACAAACCAAGCTACCCAGAATTTCATCTTGGTGACTGAGACAGGATCTGCCCACATCAACCAAGCTATACTCAAGCTTTCAGTCCTGCTTCAGCTTACCAAGAGTTGAGCCCACAGGCTGCTAACACTACATCCAGCTTCCCAGAACACTTTCCAGGGTAGGCCCTGATACCTGTGTCTTGCTTAGGGGTCTGGGTCCTGCAGAGCTTCGCTTCCTTACCAGTCCTAAACTCCTAATCTGTGAAATTCCCCTTTCACTGGTGTCCTCAAGGAGACCCCAGCTCTGTCCAAGCCCCCAAAGGTGTCCCACTTTGGGGCACCAGACACACTACTTTCTCCTGTGTTTTCAAAGTCAAGGCAAAGACAGGCGAAGCCATCTGAACAGACTGCTACATACATTTCCCTTCCCAACATCCCATTACCAGGGAGGGAGAAAAAAATTCTCACAGGCCAAAACCAATCCGGTCCTCCTTGGTGGCCCCTTAAGAGCATCAATGAACGAAACCTTGGGAGACAAAGACCATGAAACAGAATAGCAAAATGCCACTAAGGAATCCGCCAGTAGAAAGAGTAACAAGAGAAAGAATGAAAGGTGGGACTACAAAGCTTGGGGGGAGGGGGCTGGTGCCCTTCGCAAATACACTGATTTCCCCCTTTATCCCCCATGTCAGTTTTTGAAGCAGCTTCTGATAATGTCACCAGCTTCTCACGTCCTTAAAAAAGAAGACAGGAGGCGCGTGGCGAGGGAGGTGGCATTACCTCTTGACTTCTAAAGCCGTTCATCAGCAAGCCGGCCTTCCCTTCCCCTCTTACACGTTTCAATGGGGGATGGGGGTGGAAATCTTTATCTCTGTCCCCAGTTCTAAAGTTTGCCAATCGAGGTGTGTTGGAGGGGGGGGGGATTCCTGCATACCAAGTCCTCCTCCACAAGGGCGGCACCCAGTATTCCCGGTGCTCCACACTGAAAGCCACTTTTCAAATGTCCGTGTGCATGTGTAGAGGATGTCGCCTGAGATGAGATCCACAAACCACACCCGCTCAAGAACCCTGCAATCAATCGCTCTATCATCCCCCTGAATCCTCGGGGCCCCACTTCCTGCCACGCGCCCCCCCCCGCCGCAAATCTCAGGCCCCCGAGTGTTTCCCGCGCCCCTCTTTGGGCTCCTCGGTCCCCGCGCACGCCTTCTCTGCCATCTCGCCCGCCGGCTGAGGGAGCCGCGTGCACTGGCTCGGCCCGAGTCCCCCCGAGACCGCCCCCTCCCCCGGCGCCCGCGCTGTCGGCCTCGTGCGCCGCCGTCCCCAGGGTGTCCCCAACACTCACGGCTGTAGAGGGCGATGCCCGCCGCGTCTGGTCCAGCGCGCACCTCGAGGCGCAGAGCCTGCTGCTCCGCGTGCCTCTGGATCTCGCCGTTCGCGTCGCCGATAGTGAGGAGGCGGGCGCCGGGAAACACCGACACTGTCGCGCAGGGCCCCGCGCCGCCCGGGCCAGCCACCGCCGCGCTCCCCGCACCCGGCCCCACAGCCGTCGCCGCCGCCGCTGCCATCTTAGGTCCGGCTCCAGGCCCCGCTGCCACCACCGCCACCGCCACCGCCGCACCCGGGCCCAGGCCGCCGCCGCCGCCGCCGCCGCCGCCGCCGCGCAGGCCGAGGCCGAGGCTGGCAGCGCGCCGCCTGCCGGCCACGCGCCGCCTCGCCGCCGCCGCCACGGGCCGGCTCGGTGGCGCAGCGCCACCTGCTGGCACCTGAGGGAACCCGGCGAGAGCGAGCACGACGTGGGTGGGGCCGGCCCCACCCCGCGAGAACGGTCGCGGCTTTGTGAGGTGGCCTAGCCGCCCCGGCACGCCGGGAGAAGGATCCTACGTCGAGAGGCGGTGCTCGGCGCCCTGGCACGCCCTCAGGGCTGCTAAGCTCCGCCCCGAGGCCGCGGCGCGTGAGCGGCCGCGCTTTGTGCCACCGCGAAGCCGTTCTGGAGAGATGGGCGGGGCGTGCGTCAGGAGGCGGTGCTTGGCCGCGGGCACGCTCCCGGAAGGACCAGGCGGCCCCGCCCCTCCGTGCCGGCGTTTGGTGAACCACCGTGTGCACCGGGAGGCTGCACTCGGCCACGCCCCGCGGGGCCACACCCCGCCCCCAGGCCTGCAACGCTCCAACGACCAAGCTCCATACCACCGTGGAGTAGTTAAGAAAGGCCGAGGAGCTTGAGTCCCGAGGCCCGACTCAGAAGAAACGCCCCCTCGATGGCTGGGCTCCGCCTCTAGGCCGGTGTCCAGCGGATGACCACGCCTGGGGATGAGTAGGCGCTCGGCGGCTGGGATACGCCCCCCGGAGGGCTGGCTCCGCCCCCTAAGGGCCGCGGTTAGCAGTGAACTCCAGGCGCTCTGAGGGCGGAGCAGAAGCGTAAGTCCCCGTTAAGGACCGCTCCTGGGCCTGAGAAATTAGGAGGATGATTTCCAAACTAGGCGCTCGGCCACACCCCCCGGCCAAGCCTCCGCCCCCTGTGTCTTAGCGGGGCGCTCCGCCCCGTTCTCTTATCACTGGTAGGGAAAGGCCCTGTGGTCACAGGGGCAGGCTCGCCCCCAGCTGTGGCTCCGCCCCACGCTGCCCTACTAGAAAAGCACTTTGAGCCGGTCAGACCTTGGCATTGAACTTTGAGTCTTTGAGGAAGTTCTTCAGCTTCTCCACCAGGACCTCTCCTTCTCCCCAGTGAACTCTCAAGTCCTCCAGTATGACTAGCCATTGTGTTCAACAGACTCATCTGCTGTTCACTTTTTGGTGGGCCTTTTGGGACCTCTGATTTACTCCTGGTCCTTTAAGACCCTTTTGTTCCCTCTTTCCTGGTCTCCGCATGCTCCATTCTCTTCTGCACCTCCAAACATTTCTCTTACCCGACATTAGCTGAAGTTCAGTGGTGTGGTACCTCCAGCGTGGCCAATTCATCTCTTTCCCCACCCCACACCCCCAAGCCATGCAGTCCCAAATTTATTGATTACCTGAGGCTTTAGGATTACTTTAACAGGAGCCTTGCCAGCAGGACTCAAAAACCACCCAGCCCCTTCCCAAGCCCCACTCCCCAATGGTGCAAGCCCATAATTTCAGGCAGAACCAGGATGATGTGATCTCAAGGCCAGCCAGAGGTACAAAGTGAAATTCTGTCACTAAAAAACATACACACTGTCAGACTGAGTGGTGCAAGCCTTTAATCCTAGCATTTGGGAGGCAGAAGCAGGCAGTCTGGTCTGCTGAGTGAGTTCTAGGACAGCCAGGGCTACACAGAGAAATCCTGTCTCCAAAACAACAGCAAACACCCCAAAGTCGGGCATGGTGGTATGCACCTTTAATATCAGCACTCGACAGAGGCAGGTGGATCTCTGTGAGTTTGAGGACCAGTCTGGTCTACAGAGTGCGTTCCAGGACCGACAGGGATACACAGTGAGACCCTACAACAACAGAAAACACCCCCCCATAAACACCCAGTCTGAAAGTCAAGTGCAGCTGGGGAAGCCCAGGAAAGGAGGTACAAAATGTCTCTTATGCCCAGCTGGATGTCCAGATGAAATGGCAGCACATCTCTGGTGATCTGGCCAATCCAGAGAATCTGCAAAGGAGCTCTGGCTTTCCATCCCGCCTCTAGGCTGATACCCTATTTTTCTTGTCTTCTGTAAGGAAGGTCACACCAGCAGTCCCCTTCTCTGGACAGATGTCCAGCTTCTGCAGCTGTTGGCAGTGGGACTAGGGGAACTGGATAAAGGGGTCCTCGTTCCTCTGCTTCATTGGCAGGCCCGGAAAGTGCTGAACTCAGGGAGCTCCGGAGAGGATGAAGTAGAGGAGGGCCTGTCTTGAGGACCTGAGTTGCGAGGATGTGCATCCAGGGTTGACATCATGTTTTCCTGAGTCATTTTCTTTGTCCATGGAAGAAAAAATACTGAGTGATTTGGGGTATGAGGTATAGGAATTCCCCTATTCCAAGTTCTCAGGTACCCTCTCAACTCTTCGCCCCTCACACCTCCCCGTATCCCAGCCTTCAGTGGCTCTGCCCCTACAGCCTTCTCTCTGCTGAGGAAGGAGGACCAGAGGCCTAGGCTCTGACTCCATTCCTGTCACTCTCTAGCAGCCTGGCCTCACTTGAGTGACAACTCTCCTATGCTTTAGTTTAGTAATGGGATCCATCTCCTAGGGGCATTGTGGGCCTGAAAAAGAAAGGTACCTGAAATGGCTGGCACCTGATAAGCCAGCTCACATTTGTACTTACCCTATATCAGGGCTCCCCTAAAACCTTTCAAGAACTGAAGCCCTCAGAGCTTTGGACCTCCCTAACCCCAGTAAAATCCCTGTCTAGCTACAGGGTCTTTGTTTTTTAAAAAAGAAAAATTTTAAAAACACAGCAGGGGCCGGGCGGTGGTGGCGCACGACAGGAGCAGGCAGGTCTCTGTAGCCAGCCTGGGCTACATAGTGAGTTCCAGGCCAACCAGGGCTAAACAGTGAGATCCTCTCTTGCCTTTTTTTTTGGGGGGGGGGTGTTTTGTTTTTTAGGGTTTTTTTTTTTTTTGAGACAGGGTCCCTCTGTGTAGCCATGACTATTCTGAAACTCTCTCTGTAGACCAGGCCGGCCTCTAATTTAAAGAGATCTCCCTGCCTCAGGTGCTCTTCCAGAGGACCCAGGGTCAATTCCCAACACCCACATGGTGGTTCACAACTGTAACAGGAACAGTTCCAGGGCTTCTGAAGCCCTCACACAAACATACATACCGGCAAAATACCAATAATGTAAAAAAGTAAAAGAAAAACCAATAAAATGGTGACCCTTTCTCTACGTCGGACTCCACACTGTTACATGTCAGGCCCTGAGAGGGGCAGTGAACACCAGGCACCTGGCAGCTTCTTTGTCATCATTTCTACCAACATCAAAGCTTTCTTCTTAGGAGAGTTTGTTTACTATTCCTGGACATGTATTTGCTTGCATCTGTGTAGGTGCAGCTTGTGGGTGCAGCTTTGGATCCCCTAGAACTAGGTTTACAGTTCCAGGTCAGCCAGGGCTACATAATGAGACCCTTTCTGAAAAAGAAAGGATGGAAAGAAAAAAGTAAAACCAAAAGCAAGAACTGAGGTATTTGCATACCCATGTTCACAGCAACGGTGTTCACAAAAGTCAAAAGGTGGGAGCCTTCCAGGTGTCCATCAATAAACATGAATCATCAGAATGTGGTATATAGTACTCTGGAATGGTATTCAGCTTTGAAAATGAAGAAAATTTAGACACACTTAACAATGTGGGTTCAAGGGCTGGAGAGATGGCTCAGTAGTTAAAAGCACAGATTGCTCTTCCAGAGGATCCGAGTTCAATTTCCAGCACCCACATGGCAGCCCACAACTGTCTGTAACCCCAGGATCCAACTCTCACACAGGCATGAATACAGGCAACACACCATTTAAAAAATAAAAATTAAAAACATGGCATGACCGGGCGGTGGTGGCGCACGCCTTTAATCCCAGCACTTGGGAGGCAGAGGCAGGTAGATCTCTGGGCGTTCGAGGCCAGCCTGATCTAAAAGAGCTAGTTCCGAGACAGGCACCAAAGCTACAGAGAAACCCTGTCTAAAGAAAAAAAAAAATGGGATGAACCTAAGGTTACTATGTGAAGTGGAACTAGCCAGTTAAAAGGAGAAATATATTGTTCATATGAGAGTAGGCAAATCAAGAAAAGCAGGAAATAGGACTTGAGATTTTTGGTCTCAACGTCTAGCCCAAGATGTGTGTGTGTGTGTGTGTGTGTGTGTGTGTGTGTGTGTGTGTGTGTGTGTGTGTGTGTTGTGTTACAGTGTTGTATACAGCCCTGGGATGGTGGGGGGAATGACTACATATTGAGACAGTGTCTCAAATAAAAGCAAGTGAAACATGTGACTGATATGGCAGAGTATTGCTTGGTAAGCAGGAAGCCCTGTGTCCATCCCAGCACCTCATAAGCGGGTACAGTGGGCACACCTGTGATCACAGCACTAGGTGTAAGATGACCAGGTGTTCAGCTGCACCCTCAGCGACATGGCGAGTTTGTGACTAACCTGTCTGGAAATTGTCCAGCCAAACCTAGCAACAATACAAAAGCCTTAGGGGCTGGATGGTCCTGGCTGCCCAGGCTGAGACACACCTGAAGCAGTCGACCTGCCTCAGCCTCCCAAGTGTTGGAATTATTTGCAGTGTTAGAATTATATCATTGGGTGCATTGGCCACCATGCCCTGCCTCCTAGGTTTATCTGCACAGTTCAGGAGTTGTTAAGACCTAGAGCCACAACAGATGTAACAGGTCCCTGAAAACCTCTCTCTCCCCACTCCTTCCCCACCTCTTTCTTTTTGTACACTGTGGTATGGAGCCCCTGCTTCAAACATACTAGGCCCTCATTCTACCAATGCGGCTGCTTCTCCAGCTTTTGTTACATTGTTTTGTTTTGTTGGCTTTTTGAAACAGGGTTTCTCTGTGTAGCCCTAGTTGTCCTAGAACTCACTCTGTAGACCAGGCTGGCCTCAAACTCAGGGATCCTCCTGTCTCTGTCTCCTGAGTGCTAGGATTAAAGGCGCCACTTTGCCCTTCTCATTGTTTGGTTTAAGAAGGGGCTCAGGTGGCAAGTTGGCTCAGCAGCTCAAGCAC